CCCACCTATGCTATTAGGCCAGGGAGAGGGGAAGGAAAGATGGGAGTGAAAGGATGAGAGAGCTTTTAATACTTAATCATCCAGTTAACAACAACTTTTGAATGCAGTACTGGTTAAACCAGGCCTGGAAAATCATACGTGCTGAAATAGTTTGACTGCGAATTTAAATACTGTAGGTTAGAGTCACCTCTAAACTTATCTCTTTTCACCATGCCAAATTATAAAGATGTTGTTTATCTGTGAAATCCTACATATTTTCAGACTTCCTAATTTCATTAGGATTATATGACTAACTTTTCTCTCAGAAATCAAATGGATGCTTCTGTAAGCTGAAACTTGGAAATGAAATACTTGTATTTATTAAATGTGTAGGCTTCTCTGCATCAATACAATTGATAAAACTGACAATACCAGATATTCCAATTAAAAATAAAATTCGACAATACAGAATATTTATTTGAATGAACACGTCTCTGCTACTGTGGAAAATATTCTACATTCTTTGATTTTACTAAGGGAAGAAGTATTATATTATTATGATTAAACAACAATGGGTGAGAAGCTAGGTTGCTCCTGGCTTTTTTAGGTCATTTCAATTCATTTACAAAAGGAGACTATGAGAATGTTAAAAGTCTTACAAGCCTCTAGGTCAATATTACTATTATATTCTAGTCCACATCAGAAATGCAACCTAGCAGCATTTAAATATTCAAGGTAGTACTACTTTTTTGCTTTTGAAGTTGATTTGACTTAGAAGATACTTGTCTTAGATACATAAATGCTTTTGGGAACTTGTTAATTGTTTGGGTTTGTGCAAAGAAAATATTTGGTTTTGGTTGGAGGGGCATTGCTGTTTTGAGGTGGCTTTGCAAATACACTGAACTCTTTTAATACTACATTCTTATAATATTTCTTCATGTAAAATACCTATGATTTCAAGTTTGGGAAGATACATTTTCAGAAAAATTCTTAATGTCGTAAGCCTCTAGCTGCAATCAGGAGAAATTTCTGTTCCCGTTTCCATAACATAGCATGAGATAAAAGCTACTCGTTATTGTACTCAGTCCCTCTTGTCTATCCTTCAAAAAATAGAACAATCACGCACAAACATTTCTCTATTGTCATTTCTGGGAATTCATGAAGTATATGATGGGCTACTTTTAAGTACAGTAGTTTGCTCATTCATAAAACATAAACCTTCCAAACAGATAACTTTGATGGGCTCAAGCTGTGGACAGCCCACACTGCCTCCTAATATGCCTTATCTTGCTTGTAGATAGAATTATGACAGCCTGTCATGTCTCTGTTCCTTACCGTCATCTAGCTTTTAAAATAAAAGTTAAAGCACATAAAGAGAATCAGAAAATAGAAGTAAAGAAAACATCAAAGGAGCTAAATGATCATGGCAGGGTGGATCTTAATATAAATCACAATCAAAATAGAGTAGAGTGATAACCGTGCTATCAGGGACTTTGCAGTGTGGCATCCATCTGCTGAGACTGGCAGAAAGAAAAAGCCAGCCAGCCCCGATGCGAATTAAAGGACCGTCTGTTAATACTCACAACAGACGTCTTCATGTAACAAATTATGTGTCTTAATAAATGATGATTGATTGCCAAAAAGCATCATCATAATGAGAGAACTTATATCAGTTAAATAGACAGCAGCTACAGTTACAGTTTAAGAGGGTAAGTTTTCTTGAAATTTTCCTTAGAATTTCTTGAGGGAATCTGGTTTATTTTTCTGTAGTCCATCATGCATAGGAAGAAAAGGCCACCACAATCAGCAGCCTCACCAACAAAGCCTGCTGTACTTCTTTATATCCTTATGCACAAAAAAATCTTTTAAACTAGCATTATTTGGACTGCAAACCCAAGCACATGAAAGACAGCAAACTGTGATTAATTCTAATTTTCAAAAAAAGGCAAATGAAAAAGAGAAACCTTATCATGGCGCATCATATAGCAAAATATATGTGCATCACCAGTAAGCTGTAGCCTACTCATACCACAGAGAACTCACTAGAGGTGAGAAAAAGCAATAAAGCGGTATCTTCTAAGCATACTGTTATTAGAGGGCAGAAGAGCCCTTTGCTGTAAGATTCACAAGTATTTGTTTGCAGCAGGGAACAGGGAGACTCAGGAAGCACAGCTTTCAGTTGATGTGGAGCTAGCTATCATATACACAAAGCCTTCCTACCTAATTCCAACCCTCTTCTGGTCTATTGCCCTCAAACTGCCTTTATCCCAAAGCTGGCACTTCCTTATCCCTAACTTGTCCCAAGCCCATTCTCCTCCCCTCCCACCAGATTTCCCACTCTGTTCTGAACAGAGGGAACCGTCATACCTCAGTCCCAAAATAGCCTTGACAATCCACTGCCAGTACCACTTTCCTACAACCCAAAACCGAACCCAGCCAGCATCAGTTCTCCTCTCTCCTATAGATCTGTCATCTCATCCATCTCCTCTACCATAGCCTTCACATGGATTCCTCATGATAACCTCCAATGTCACTGCCTCCCTATTGACTTTCTTCTTCGAGACACTTTTCCAAACTACCCCCCTGAGAAAGGGCTAGGAATGTTGAACTTGCTCATCATTCAGGCGTGTATCTCACAGCAGGCATTGCAACTCCAAAAAACAGTGACAACAGTGACAAAATAGTGAAATACTTCTTCCATGCCATATGACATAGCATAATGCTGTAACAACAGTTGTTACTACTATTAAAAGGTTGCATCCCAGTATGCATCTTCAATAGTCAAACCAAGGACACACCAATCAACCAGCTTTCTCAAATCTAGTACTCTTATATGCAATTCCAACTTAAGGAAGTAGAAGTTCTTTATATGCATAAGATTAATCACCTAAGGCAATCAAATTTCCTAACTTAAAGCACCATCATCTCTTTTATCGAAATAAGGAAAAAACAGATCAGGTTAATGTTTGAGATGTTGTATACTATTAACTGAATCAAAAGAAAACAGTCTTCCAAATACTAAATTTAACCTAACGTACCATTTACACCAAACCATTTTGAATTCAAAGAAAAATTTGCCATGGGATAAAAGTCTCAGCAGTGGCTTCTATTTTATTCTAAAACCTGATCTCCACTGTACCAAAATTGTTTAAAGATACTCTATTTACAAATTTGGGGACTACATTTAGGAGACTAACTGAAAAAAAAGAGAAGAACAATTAAAATAAAACTATTTCATAATCAATGGGAGAGTAACATATTTGCCATGTCAGCCACAGAATTAACGTTCAATTGGAAATGCTATAAACCAGCCTCAAGATTCTATCCATATGTTCTGCAATTTACTACTTCTATCAGATTAACAGATTTGTACTGAAATTCAGTTAGATCTTTAAAAAAGCTGATTTCTTTCCTGGAAATTAAATGTTTGAGATAAAAAAACAGCCAGAAGATCTAAATAGCTTTGGCGCTAAAGTCCCAGGAGTCTCTCAAAGATCTTTTTAAACTTACTGCTTGCAGTAGAAAGCATGGAGCAACAAAATGTTCAGACTGAATAAACATCAAGATGGCTCTTTAAAAGCTTCCTGAGATATTCTTTTCTACAACAATAAATAGCATTCCAAAACTGTAAACAGCCACAGTCATTCTGAGTGCACACACAATTTATGTTTTCTTTCACCTTAACAGCACAAGAATCATTGCATTTAAAAAAAATGCGTCCACCTCATAACAGGTGATGACTTCAACTTAAGCTCAGCTTGACTCATAACTGTTAACTTGACTGATAATTCATTGAAGGGTAATAAAAGTTGCAAAAGACAAAACATCAATGAGAAGCACTTAATTTTTTGGGATGAACAACAAAGAATCAACATAGCTATTAAGTGACCAAGGTCTCAGATAAAATTGAAACTGATGATCCTTGGCTTATAATAATGAAAACCTTCAAAGTTTAAAATACACATATCACTAACATTGTTGGTATCTCTACTCTATATGTCAATTTAAACACAACAAATACACTTAAAATATAAGTGACTACTGTTAACCATTTGGAAGGCATGCCAGACATCACCCTTGGTAAATCCTCTGAAAAGAAGAAATGAACAAGAGGGGATTACGCAGCTAATGCCCATGGGTGAAGCCAGGTCATAAGAGCTTGAAATGACGGGGGATTAGAGAGACAGGATCTTTCAAGCACTTCCCCCAAGCATTAATGGAGTAACAATAGCTCCCTCTTAAATTAAATGTTAGCTGTATGTTTAAAATATTCACATGTATGACAGTAAGATATTTTGCCTTCTGTTCGCTGAGTAAAAACTTAAAACAGTACTGTACTTCTTGAAAGAATAAATAAATTTTGTGTCCCAATAAATGAGATATAATCTGAAATGCTACAGAAAACATGAGCATAACCATCATTTATTCCAGGCTAGGTTAGCTGAAGAACCTAGCTCAGGGTTGGGTAACTGGTAGGATCACGAGAAGAATTTGCTCATCATGGACCATGTGCCAAAAAATTTGTTCATAAATTTAAGCCTCTAAATTTAGCAATTCTGCTTAGTATCTGGTTGCTCCAAAATACAAGTTTTTCCTGGTGTTTCCCTTGGATTTTTTTTTGGGCCAACATACTTGTAAACTATGAAAAACGTAAATACTATTGGGCTGTTATTTCCATTTCAAATAGTGGTTTCAGTTCTCTTAAGATTAAATTTTCTTCCTACCGTCTAGGCAAAGTAACATGAGCCCTCCAGGTATTCAGGGTAGAAAGAATATTTTATACAAAAGCATGCATGCTGTGGCTGAAGCTGCAGAATTCAACTGCCAAGGAGCAGCAACAGTGGGCTGCTTCACAAGGGAAGGCAGGTCGGGAGCCAAGGGTGACAGCAAGGCAGGCAGAGACATCACTGTCACCAAATGCCATCCCACAGTATCTGAGGAAGAAAACAGCGCAGGTCCAGTGACACGACGTTAACCAAGTTCACCCAACAGTCCAGTGATGACGAGACAAGTTTGCAGAGATGATGGAGGTCCAAGGTCGAGCTGGGAAGCCAAGTCAGCAAGGCAAGGTCAGGGTGAGCAAGGTACATGGCCAGGTACAGGCACACCTGCAGTGTAGCTGTGGTCAAGGACCTGAGCTTAAATGCAGCTCCTGAGACATGGCCCAGAGGCCACAGACCAGACTCCTCACAACCAACTCTCCGAGCTGAGGTTACCCGGCTGCACTGTATCAGAGCTGGCCTTGAATACAGACAGTCAAACCTGGGGAGCCAGACAAAGAGGCGGCAGGGCCTGTTGGTGCACTGAAGGACAGGACATCCACCAAACCAATGTGTCGGCCCTTTTCTGAAAGGTAAGGGCTGACTGATCTATGAAATCTAGTAATCTCTACTCATCTCTTATCTCTCCTCTGTTTCCAATTTGTACACTATATTAGATCATTGTGCCTTAAAACTGACTTTTGCCTGTTTTTAAACCTTCCTGCTGAGAAGTCATGCAAGTAACTCAACTGAAGTTGAACTACAAAACAAAACAGTATCTCCTTTCTCCTGTTCAGGGTCTGGAAACACTACCCCTCCGCATGTACAGCAGAACTCACACCATGAATAAAAGATTATGCACAACATGTCCAGATTTCCTTGTCACTGTCTTCTAGTGCCTGTTGCTTCCAGAAAACATTTAAGCTATATTAAACTAAAGGCTATAAGTTATCAAACATGAAAAGATAGGCAGTGAACAAAAAACACATATAACTCAGTTTTTTTCTTCACAGATTACAGTTAGTTTTATTGTAACCTTAAAATACACAAAAGAAATATTTATTATTTCAAAATATTAGATTTTCCCACTGAGTTTACTACGTGAAATTCAAAGGCAAGCTAGAGAAACCAGAATAGGACTGTTAGTTGGCTGACAGATAGTCCTAATTACCCGTTTTGAGTGTTTCGGTAAGGGGCTAAGAATGTACTACAGTTTATGCTATAAAACACTGAAAAATTCTAAATTTTGAGGGCCCTCCAGTGACCCACACAGACGTTTCAGACCATCCTTAGAAAGAGACACACAAATAAAACATGAAGCTACCGTGAAAGCCTTCTTGCCACATTTCATACAACAGACTCTCAGAAAATCTGGAAATTAAGTAGCATAGCTATATTAGGCAGATGACTGGAATTTACCTTTTAACTACTTTGAACAGGGAGTTGGGTTGCTTTGCAGGGGGGGGGTTGGACTGTGACGACCTCCATAGGTCCCTTCCAACCTTAACTATGCTGTGGTACTTTATCTTAAAAACAAAGGTAACTTGAGAAAGAAGTAAAAAGCTTTACACTGGGCCTTTGCTTGAACTTACGGAGCAAGAGTAATATCTGGAAAACACTTATTTGTAATTTTGACTTCTTCCCTCTTCTTTAAAGCATACTCTGAAGTGAAGACAGTCTCTGATGCCCAGCTGAGCAGCTTGGAGTTTCATGCCCTCCCTTCAGCTCCAAAACTATTATTAAATACATGATTCAAACAAGAATATTTTCTTTTGCTACTGTGCATAGTCTTACCAATGCCGGTATGGTGTATATGCCTGGGGTTTGTTTAGTTTTTACATGCACATCATTCTAAAATATGCACTTAGAGCTGTGATTTCTACCCAGCTGTGTTACTGCATTCACTTGTTATAAATAGGCAAATCAAAAGTTCTAAGAAACTATAAAAAAAATGAACTGGTTGATTTTAGAATTATTATTTGAAACTGCAGCACCTACACTCACAGTGAGAAATGAATTCTCATAGTACTTCTTAGGATTGCCTTGGATATACCTGAGAACAATAATATATAGAAAAGTTCAGACATGTCACTGAAATGTAAAAGATCTTAAACAGATCTACACTACATAGCAACATTCATTCACTCTTATTTAGCTTTCTTACTCAAAAATAATGATTTTCCATGCTGTATGTATGTAATACTTATAAATAGCTGCAGAATAATAACTATTTCCATCTGTCAGTTTTAGTTAGACCTGTCACATTGCTACACATTTTGGTGCACATAATGGTATGGTATCCACATATTTGCAAATAACTTAATCTTACTATGCTTTTAAACATTATTTGCTCATATAGATAATGAGGCGCACATTACAAATGAATATTTGTAATAAAACAGATTGAAAAAATAAGAACAAGGAGAGTAGAAATTATACTCTAAAGCATCTGAAAATCTTGTCTTATCCTTGACAACAGTGCTTGGGTGAAGAAGAGACTAATGCCAGAATTAATTATTGGTTAGTTTTAAATTCTCAGCTGCCAGGCAGCAGGAATAAAGGGACAGAAAACAAAAAACAAACTAAAGGAATTAATGCAACTTTATACCACTTGAGCATAAACCAACATCATCATTAGCTCTAAAACCAGAAAACCCTTACTGCTGGGATATTTATGGCTATGTACAATGATTTAAATAAGCCAGCATGAACGTTGCAAGCAAAGCAAGCAAATTGGAGAAACAACCTGAACTGACACTTTTAGCACAACAAAACACAGTGTTACTATCTCCACATGTTAATTCATTCTGAAATTTCACTTCTGCAAAAGCTCCAGAAAAGAAGCAGTATTTACAAGCTCTCACGTCATCCTTATTTCAGATTAATTAAAACACCCAGTTCTGCTAGCCGTCTTCCTCTCTCTCCTATCCTGTCCTTTACTTGTCTCTTCTCATGAGAGACATGACTTTCTAAGTCTTTTTCAAATACCTACATATTTTAGGTGCTCTAGAATGAAAAATTAAGCATAGTGTAATTCATGAATCCTAAAGGGGTCACGTCATTATTAACCTTTGCCTGATCAAAAGAAACTAGCACTAATAACATTATATTTTTGAACTTAGGCTTCTGTAAACAAAGAAACTTAAAATCACTAGCACCGAATAACCTCCTTTGCACTACTCAAAATTAATACCTGTCTACCTGGTCTCTGTCAGTCAGAACCTAGTTCTAGATATGCCTTAAAGATTATTATCTACTTGGTACTACTAGCAGCAGGCATAATAGGCAGTGGAAAACACACCAACCTATTTACTTGAAGTACAAGATGGGTGAAAACAAATCCCTGAAAACAAGTTAAAGCTGGTTAGCTATTTTAACTGGGTTAGCAAACTTTGCTTTTGAAGCGGTCTCCGGCATGACAGAGTGACAAAGTTTGTTCCAGGCAATCTCAGACTTTTATATTCAGACCAGATAAGAAGTTAAAACCATCACACTGGTGAGATTTGTAGCAACCAGGCGAAAGGCTAGCTAGCACTTTTCTAACAACATATTCCTGGTACTGATAGAGGGAGCTGTGACACCAACAAAGGGATGAAACTTGAGCTACATGACAGACTGGGTGAGAATCCCAGAAGCACACTCAGATTGACCCGATAGATTTTGTCACAGTCTCTGAGTAATGAGAGCCCCTTTGGCATATATCCTTGCTCAGGACTGAGTAATGAAGATGGGACACACAAGGCATCTGTGCTGTGGAAATTGCTCAGCCTCCAGGTTAACGGCTGAAGCTCGAATCAGAGCACCGTGCGCAGCCAGGACAGGCTGACTGGCATCAGTACGCTACAACGACAGGCATGACATCAGTCAGGCGAGGACAAGAGAGAAGGTTCTGGTAGTTATTCCTGAGGACCCGAACGCAGTGAGTCTGTGATCTAGCCCAGTTCACAGGGAGAAGTAACCATGTCATGGAAACTGTCAGCACTAATTAGAAACCCTTCAGGCACTCTCAGGGATTTAACAGACACCGAGGCACAAACTGCCTTGCACTCCTACAGGTTGCCCCTCAGTCAGAAGAGAGAAAAGATGAGGGACAAAATAGTATCAGAAGCTTTTCAACTCTTCCGTCTGTGCTGCTCTGGGGATAACAGGAGTTGCTCTAAGCAGGTCACGCTGACAATCTAGCAGTGTTCACAAGCACTAAAAGTCACATAACATAAGAACCACTCTAACCCTTTCCAAGATGGAATCAACCCAACCAATCAAATAATTTCTGCTGATGATTTTTTTCCCCAAATAATCACATTCTAGATAATCTATTTTTATGTCAGTCACTTTGCATCTTCAGAACATCATTACAATGACAAGCAATACAAAAAAACAAAAAACCTTCCCTGAATATGGTAAACATACACAGATATTCACCATCCTATGAATTAAAAATATGCTTAAACTAAGTTGGATTTTCTCAGTTGAAGGATATTAACCAAGGAGAAAATGCAAAACTGAAATAAGAATTTTAAACTAACAGAACTAATTAGCCAGAGATAAAATAAAATAAGCCATTCATTTAATTCGAGCAAGACTCCACAAATATTGGTAAAATTTCAAACTTTTAAAATTACTTTAAAAATTACTTTAAAATTTAAAAATTTAAAATTTAAAATTACTTGGTTAGGGTTTAATGGTGGGCGTTGGACTCCTAGGATTTAAAAAAAAAGAAAAGCCACAAAGACACAAAGTTACCAATCTTGCAAAAAAGGGTGATTGACTCAGGTATGATGTGAGTTAACTTTAATAGTGACTGAAATTTCAATGGCTTTAACCACTTGCTTAAGGTTAAGCATTCATGGGATCAGGACTATGGAAAATGTGTTATGAGGAAAGTCCTCAGGGTAAAAAGCGCCGTATATCTAACATTCTTTGCCTCAACATATATATGAGCAGTACACCCCTTTTATTACGTAATTATCTACAAATTTTCCATGCTGCTCATTAATGCCTCTAACAACTTTAACAGTTAAGTCCTAACAAGCCTTACAGCCGCTCCCAGGGGAGCGTTTTACCGTTGGACTATATAGCTGCAGCGTCCCTCTTCACTAAACGGTGTAATTCTTCTACGTACCTACCGCGTTGTCACGCCACGCGCAGACGAAGGCGACCAAAACGGCACCCGAGGGAGGACACAGAAGGGCCGGACGCTAAGCAACTGCTGCGGGTCTGCTCCGGCTCCGGGAAGACAAGCCGCCCCCCGACCCGCCCGGGAGCAAGACCACCGCTGTCGCCGGGTA